ATATGGGCTAATGATACAGATCAAATGTTCAAATAACTAACATATATTTTCACTTTCAAAGCATAGAATGATGCATGTCAGAAAAAAGCATTCATTGCGTCTTCAGTACTATCACAATAATAACCCAAAATGAAATTAGAAATATAATCTTAAACACTATGACAAGAAGCAGAAAAGGGGAAGTTTCTTTTCACAGGGAATAAAACCTTACAAGAAATTGAAAACAGTTTTAAGCAGACTATTTTGAGAAACCAGTTATAACATACCGGTACTTGAATGGAAAATATTTGGGATTGCTATTGGTTTCATGGAGCTAATTCTGAAGGCTGAAGCATAATGGGCAAGGAAGAACTCCAGTGAATTCTCTCCTCTCCTGAAATAGAAAAAAAAACTTAGTGTGCAATGAGACATGATAATTAACTGTCTAAGACTAATAGTGTTCTTCTGTTTCAGACCATGACATAATAGATGTAAATGTTAATTCAGTCAGGATTAGCAATGTGTTCCAGTCTCAGACCGCAGTTTTGATGACCTGCAGATGAATGTTTTGTGACATGAAACTTTTGCCAGAAGAAGATGATAACTTGAATGCTCTGCTCTGATTTTTAATGTTCTCTGTTTATCCTATAATCCAAATTAGTCTTGTAGTTTTGCCAAGAGACCTAGTTCTTTTTTTCTCTTGTACATTGTTGTCATTTTAAGCATTGTATGAACGTCTGTTATATTTCACTTATAATGAAAATATATAAATATTGGTTGTACTCAATACAATCTTAAAATTCGACATGTCATCTGTGAGAAGGCATCGACTGGCAGACAGCTATGCTGTGCTTTGGGGGAGACTGGTCCACTCTGTGTGATTCAAATCATTACTCAATTCAAGGGTCTTGTTTTAAGCTTGTGCATATGATCTCCATACATAGTTGTACAATATGCACAGTCAGCTTCGAGTTTTCACCATTTATTGCTGAGAAATCCTATCAATAGAAAGTTCTATAGATATAATTATGTATTTCATATTAGAAATTCTGCTTGCATCATGTACAAAATTGGGAACACAGTGAGGTGTACATTCTACTTACTAATCTCAGTCTTCTGATCAATCAGTAAATAGAAATTATTTGAGCTAAGCTGAAGTTATATAGAAATGTTGTTTTACTCTACACCAGAGGTCCCCAACCTTTTTGGGCACCAGGGATCGGTTCCGTGGAGAAAGGTTTTTCCATAGACCGAAGAGTGCATGGTTTTGCGTGCTGCCTATATCCCATAGATGGGGCTTTGCTTGTTTGTGTGGACTGGTTGCTGGCATGCCACAGCCTGGTACTGGTCCACAGACCAGGGGTTGGGGACCTCTGCTCTACACCTTCCCAGGAAATGCTCACACACTAACGTGGAAGAATCAAACATGTCCTGATGAGAAAGAAGATACAGACTTTTCACCTTTCTTTAATCTAAGGATCTGTAACTCCCATGAGGGAAGGGGGGAAACTCACATCAACCCTATTTCTTGATGTGCTGTGAAATATAGTTCTAGTTCTTCATCTAGTTCCCTTTGGCCTTGCTCTAGTTACAAATTGTATATCAAGTATATCAAGGAAATGTTCTTGATACTTGAACATATTAAGTTGTCCATTTTTGTTTTTCCCTATTACACTGGCCTAAAAATAATCAACATTATTTGTAATGATAGAAAGTATATAATTTAAACAGAAGAAAACAGGATGAGATTTGTGTTCTAGTAGGACTATGCTAGTTCATTAATTCTGTAAAATTAATGTTTCAGTTTCTCAGTTATAGGTCTTTGCTTATCATAAGTAGTTGTAAGCCGGTGTCAAATATCTGTTTTTGCTTTTTCTTTCTTTCTTTTTTTTATAACAAGTTTTTATTGGTTTTTCCAGTTTTACATTTGAGTATTTGGAAAGCAGCGTGGCAATTGGGTAGTCAATAGTACAATAACAAAATCTTTAGTACATATCTCAGGTTACATCATCAAAAATTTCCTTCTCCATTTCCCTTAACATTTGCTATATCATATTTAAGCTAGTAAATTTCTAATTATAACAAGCTCAATTAAAACATTTATCATTATATTTTTGCTTTTTCTTTCTTAAGGGTCGCAAGAGAGAGGCAGAAAAATATTTCTTAAAAGCAATTCAGTTGGATCCTATGAAAGGAAACTGTTATATGCATTATGGTAAGTTTGCTAATAAATGCTTTCCTTTACATTCTATTTTATTGTACAAAATTCTTTATGAATGATTATGAGGGGTTTTATTTTAAAGTACTGGCAGAGTATTATTTGAAGGAAGAAATAAAGGTACTTTACTATTGAATAATTCACTAGGGCCTATACAGCCAGTGGCATAGCCATCAATTCCCAAGGAGATACCAGTTGCCATCCTTCATCAGTAACCCATATAAGCACATAAATGGGACTTTGACATCTCAACAAAAATGATTTGTGGGCAATATTAATTATAAACTTTTCTTTGTGAAGTGCATGATATTTACGTGGGTTACTTTTACTAATTAATTTTTATTATGTATAGAAAAGTGTTTTGTAGGACTCTTACACTTTTCCAGTATGCTGCAAGATAAAACCCAAGAGAAATCTTTTTGAAAGTATAGTGAATAGCTGTAGGGCCGTGTAGAACATTTTGAGACATGTTTTGAGCTTTCAACATATTTTCAAGCTAAAACGTATAATTTATTGATAATTTCAGCCTTACTCCACATGCTCTTTATACTATTCTGATGATGCTGGAAGAGTCTTAATCTCAAAATGAATCCACTTTAGGCTAAAAACATTTAGAGTAAGGGCATAATAGTATCAGAACTGTTCAGTTAAGTTAAAATAAAATCTTCAGTTTATTTCAAGGTCAAAATAAAGTATTTCAAGTTCAAAACATTTCAAATTAAAATTGTTTTGTATACAACTACATTTTTAATTTGAAATGTTTTGAACTTGAAATACCTTATTTTGAGCTTGGAATATATTGAAGACTTTATTTTAAGTTAACTGAAGAGTTCTGATACAACTGCCTCGATTCCTACAATGGATGAATGGTTACAAAAGTTGATGGAATTAGCAGAGGTGGCCAAATTGACT